AATTTTATTTCGTGAAATATTGCACACAGGTAAGAAGTGAACATGCCACAGTTTTAAACTGATGGGCGCAGCCATGTTTGTTGTCTTGCCTTGATGTCCTGTCTCTTATACACATCTAGATGTGTATAAGAGACAGATATAATACCCACCATTTAGCACTAACGTCGCCACCAACGTCGGTAGAAAGTACATTAGCCTCACAAAGAAGCACTTCCACAAAAAACAACAACTTCACAAGATATTCAACAAAAACACTGTCAAAGTCAACGGCGGCGGTGGCGGAAGCAAGGGGCCATATTCCCCCCCCCCCAATTTCTCTTCTGGGGGGGGCACTTTTGTGACTATTCCCAGCAGTGACAAACAATGTACGGACTCTGCAATGTTATTATTATTATTATTATTATTATTATTATTATTATTATTATTACACTATTATTATTATTATTATTATTATTGTTGTTATTATTATTATTATTATTATTATTATTATTATTATTATTATTATTATTATTATTATTATTATTATTATTATTATTATTATTATGTTATTGTTATTGTTATTATTATTGTTAAGGTTATTATTATTATTTATTAATATTATTATTACTATTAATATTATTATTATTATTTGGTGCGTAGACCCTTGTTTATTTGCGCCTTATAAATTGACCTACTATTATTATTATTATAAAATATAGATTTGTTTTTCATTTTCTAACGAACATCACAAGTTCCCTTTTTGAGTTGAGCAACCAAATGCTGATTGACGTCTGTATACGCACGTCTGTAAAGTTTCCTTGAAGCCCACCCTCGAGCGTACAGAAAAATGAATGGAATCGCCTGCCTTCGTGAATTCTCTCTAAGGCATGGGTGGGTGGGAGGTAGGCACTCTTAATGGAGCGACGTTCTAGTTCTCTTTATGCTAACCACGAAGATGTATAATAAGTGTAACTGACTGACTTACAGTAAACCTTCAAACTAGCGTAATATAAGCACATTTAAACTCCATTTAAACGAAAAAATAAGATACTTAATTAGGCCACATTAAAAAATAAAGTGCGGCTACGTAGAAGGGAAATTCTTATCCATGGTGGGAAAAGTGAAGGTTTCGTCGGGGAATACCCATATCAAGGATACTCATGATAAATAATTCATTGAGATCGTGGAAGCAATCTTGACTTCGACTTTGTTCGAAAATCTGTGGCGCATTCAAGAGTTGGGAGGGGGATAAATTGTTCAATTTGTTTTTTTAATGGAGATATAAGGAAAATTATATTCAAATTTATAAGTCTGAGAGTGTAATTTCTGGCCATCTAGAGGTGTCATAATCACAAATTTCTTACCTCAGTCCCAACTTTGGTGGGGCTGAGGTAGTATAGATCCTCCATCTGCTGAAATACCAAGTGGCAGATTTAAGGCGACCTCCCCCCCCCCCCCCCCCCTAAATTGTTCAATAAAAAAATATAGATATGAAGAAAATTATATTCAAATTTTATGTCTGGAAGTGCAATTTTCGGCCATCTACAGGTGCCATAATCACAAATGTTCTTACCTCAGCCCCAACCATGATAGGGCTGAGGTACTATGCATCTTATATCTGTGAAAATACCCAACCTGGGGCCTTTCTATTTCGAATTCCCTGATCCGCCACTAGAAATTACAACAAATATTAAGTCATATTACAGTAGCTTGATGCCTATAAAATAACTTATAAAATTCACCAAACTTCGTAAAATATCCGTAGCTTCCAGGGGCTTCGCCCCTGCACCCCCTTGGCGACCCCCCTTGCCCCAGCCTAGATGCTCTCTTCTATCGCATACTGGACCTTCATAAGTGCTTCCCCCACTTTCAAAAACGTTCCGCCGCCGTTGTGTCAAAGTAAGCATTCGTGTATGCCGAGTATGAAACAGAAATATCAGCTTACAATCAAATGATACTAAACAAACCAAACCAAACTCAAACCAAAACTCAGATAGGCCTATATAGGGATATGATCCTATAAATAGTATCAAACATAGTTATAGTTGTATAAAAAAAGAGTTATCTTGTGGGAATCTCGGTGAGCGTCATACCATTTAGAGCACATAGGTCAATACGATATCGCTACGGAGACCACTAACCCCAACAGCATTGTTTTGTTTTCAGTATTTTGCATCCAATAAGTATTTAAAAGACAGAACTGAAATTGGCGTACGTCGTATTTGTATGAAAATACTGGTATTAATACGACTGATGCCATACCGGGAAGGTGTTATATAAACACTCTACGCTTATGACCCACAATATCAAATTTTCTGTAAAAATGCAGACCTTATTACAACCCCTTTAATTAAACACTGTTATTTTTATTCCAACAGACAAATATAAATACAACCATGTACTCAAAAATATTCGTCGCTGCTGTTGTCATACTGTGTAGCTTTGGTGAGTACATGGAGGAAACAAATGTCTATTTATTTCCTCCATGGTGAGTATAAATTATAGGCCTCAAAACTGATTACCAAACAGTAAATGAAAGTGTAGCAGAAGCAATATTGACGGGAATTTTACCAATTTAAGACACCAACATCACTTCCGCTACTAAGATCCGAAATATGTATCTGATACTTCAAATTAATATCTACACATGGACAGATTAGTCTTAATATATCATATGTCTATAATTTTGCTGGTTAGGCCGCACCTATCAGACAAGGGGTTCTATAATTCCGACATGGTGTCCAATGTTGCCAAAGAGAGGTCCAAATTCCCGACGACGCCAGGCCCGAGTTCCTATGCAACCATTATATGATGTAGGCCTGTAAATAGAAAGAAGTAGGGAAAGAGACGAAACCAGGGAGATCGAAGCTATATAACCTTAGTTCTTAATGCAACCCCTGGGTAATGTGCACTGGGCCGGATGGTTTGAAAATGAGCAAGATGATATAGGCCATAACGCCAAAAAATCGATCACTGGGTACTTTCCGTGGTCATATTCTTCACTGTGTGCTTCAAACAAGCAAAAAGCGCGTTATGATGTAGGGGTTACCCCACTTAGATATAAAATTAAGCCCAAACAGAACTATCAAAGAACGATTGGTATTCTTATTAGCTCAGGGTTTTTTTTTTGACATTCCAGCTAAAGAATAACCACAAATTACGCTCTTTCCTCATCACGACCCTGCCCACACTTGGACCCCCATCTGTGCGATAGCCAGGCAAACTCTGGATCCGCGCCTGGTGAGCATTAAAAAAACTGTGTTCCCCCTATTCAAAGGTCAAATGAGGTCGTTTTTTGAGCAAATGTTGCATTAGATCAAATGAAAACATTCATGCCCTGGACAATTTGAACAAGAAGGCTAAACACTGCGACTAGCAATTGCCAAGATAGTTGAACTCTATTATTTCTTCCCTACTTTGCATATTTGAACTAATTTGCATATGGGATGGGCATGTGAGCTAGGTGTTATTTCTGAAATTTCATTCTCTCATGTGTTTATTTAAATAAAGAAACACCTTTGTTTGCTGTTTGTTCCACTTCAAATGCTAGAATGCCTAACCTAAACCAATAATTAATATACAATTTTAAACAAAAAAAATCACAAAAAATCGGGTTTTTGCCCAAAAATATACTAAAAGTACCGGTATAACTTATGGTCATATGGTCAATGACATTCGATAGGACATACAATTGGCTTTCAGTTGAGGTGTAATATGTCTATGTTTGGGCATTTTCCCTTTGATGTATGTCACATACATTGATTTTTTGCTAATTTTTTTAATATTTTTGCTATTTTCAAGTGCTAGAAATTAAAATCGATGCAAGTACGGTATATGATTTCAATCTTCTGTTTTTATTTTAATTTCAAGATCATATAATTGGTCAAATTCTGAGAGAGAATGGTTGTTCTGTTCATTTAGTACGGTATATATTTTTTTTTAAATAAAATGAAAACAAAAAAAACTATCAAATTTTGACAAAAAAATGACAAAAGTTTGTGTTTTACTCCAAAAACTTGCCTAAAACACAAAGATACAAAACAAGTTTGGTATCAATAGACAGACAATTTTGTAAGCTTTCGTTTGATGTGCAACATAATTGCATTTGGTATACATGTTTTATATTCCCGATTATGATTTCATAGTAAAATTGACCGGAAATGACTATTATTGACCTCTGCAGATTCTTCTTGTCAGACTGAAAGTTATGGATATCCATAAATCATTTCAGGAATGATAACATAGTGTCAGAATGTTGCATTATGCATTATACTTTTTAAATTTATTTTACTGGTTCAGTTGTTGACAATCTATGTTTTTATTATCTCAACAGTCAATTCATTTGTGGAACTGACAAAGAAGCTGTTGGAATTGCCTGATGTTGACTGTATATTGAGCGCAAAATTCAACCAAGATCCTCTTGAACAATATTTCAGCAAGCAACGAGGGGCTGGAGGACACAATACAAATCCCACCGCCTGTCTCTTATACACATCTAGATGTGTATAAGAGACAGTATATATATATATATAACCATTGCAGTGAAAGCAGGAGCATTTTCTGGAAGTCTCAAAATGCGTCCGAACATGCTCCATCGCAAATTATTTATCTTATAGTTTAATGGACTTCGATTTGTAAGAGCATTCAGTCCTTGGTTACTAATAATCTTCGGCCAATAAATTTTAAAAAATTTCTCAAATGATTTCGGTGTAACACATCGATTTTATTGGCTTCTTTTTTAGTTAGACTCCAACTATTACTATTATACCATAGAACAGACACTACAAGGGCATCATATAATCAAATGGTTTATGGATATCCAAAAATGATTTATGGATATTCATAAATCATTTATGGATATCCATAAATCGTTTATGGAATTAAAAAAAAAACCATTAACACCTTAAGGTGTCAATGGGATTTTTATTCACCATTTATGGATATCGGATTTATGGATATCCAAAACTGACTAATGAATATCCATAAATCATTTATCAGAATCAAAATCTTTATTTCCACCTCATATATAAACATAAATACAATAAGCATGGATTGGTAACAACATCGACGAGATATGAGTGATGGAGGCCAAATAAGTTAGCAAACTACCTTTAAACTATAGACACCCCCACCCCGATACATGTTTGTAGAAGCGGTTGACGCATCGGTTGTGGCTTGGACTCCCAACCTCGAGGTCGGGGGTTCAAATCTCTCGCCGCGCTTGTGTACCTGGTAGGTTCCAACACAACTGCGCTGATTACTAGCCGCAATATTATGGAATAATAATATAATTTCACTTAATAATTTAATTTGGTGTTCAATGTGTTCCATATGTGTTTGATCCAATGACCGGGGTAGTAATGTGAAGCGCTTAGAGGCTTTGTTAAGTTATTATTATTATTATTATTATTATTATTATTATTATTATTATTATTATTATTATTATTATTATTATTATTATTATTATTATTATTATGTAACAATTAAAAATGCCCATTATGATATATACAAAAAAGGACAACAATAACCATAAATATCAAAAACAATAATACCAATAAGAATAATAATAAAAAAAATAAAAAAAACAACAATAATAAAGATAACAAAACAAAGTCTTAATACAGAAATAATAAAACTAAATCTCTAAGTTTCCAGGTAAAAAAATATACATGTATTACAAATTAATGTGAGTTTATCCTTCGTAACAATAATTTAAGGTATACATGTTAATACAAAAAGTATATGTGGATTATTCGCCGTATACAGAGTTCAGAGACTTTTTAAAAGCGGTCTTAAAACTATATCGAAAAATGATTTATGGATATCGAAAAATGTTGAAGAAAAAAGCCCTTACCTATTAGCTCCCCGCCTAAAGTATGGTATTAATAGTTTCTTTATTCAGCATTTATGGATATCCACAAATCACTTGATACATGAATATCCATAAATGATATATGGATATCCATTAATATTTTTGGATATCCATAAATATTGAATAAAAACCCCAATTACACTACATAGACTGATACAACTATTACCTGATTTCAGATGTGTCCAACGCCCTCATGTGTTACAGCTGCACTAATCTTGACTCTGACTGTGGAAGGACAATTAATAAAACCATGAGTAGTTCTATCGATCAAATCTCATGCCAAGTTGGATGCGCAGTAAGACCCTTTTCTCAATCAACTATTCATAGTTGTGCTGATAAAAACTTTACAAATACAATGTCTAATTCTTTACTTTAAAATGTTTTCCTTAATTAACTTTCAAAATATAAGTGATTTTTTTTCATGTACTGTAGAACTTTATTTTGATAGTGTTGTTAGGCTGAACGCACCGCATTTGCGAGTGCTGCTAATACATATTCGAATAAATATATCAATAAAATATATTGTGTAGAAGTTATTTGGCTTTCTTAAATCTTAAACGAGTTTCCCGCGCATATTTACAGGCGCATGAATTATACTTTACCTTTCCTATATGTTTTTATAAGTAAAACAATAATTAATACGTACGGTACTATTTGTGACGTTTCGAGCGGTTGTCAATGGATTTTCAATGACTGGTTTGCTTGTTGATGATTCGCATCCCGGTCCGCGGTACATATTTATAGGTTTACTCTCAAGAATGTATTCAATGTTCAGTAGAATTATCTTCAAGAATAAAAATTAAAACTTATACTAAACAAAATGTACTGTGTAGCGCTAAATTATGGTGGATGGTGCGTATGGTGTTGATAATTTTTTAATTAATGGTGAATGAAACTAATTTTATGATGTTTCTTTCATAAATTGCAGACGATCAAAATCATGAGCAATGAAACAACAACCTACAACAGAACGTGCTCTGAGGAGGTGGACTGTCCGCAACAACCCGGAATCTGTATGGAGCGCGAAGGTATGAGTTGTGTTGAATGTTGCAATACGACTCTCTGCAATGACGACTTTAGACCCAGACCCGGACCCAAACCCACTGACCAAACTAGGAATACTACCATAAGTGCTGGGAGTCGTGGTATTGCTAATTTGGTTATCGTTCTACTCACACTTTGGCTCTGCACAACACTGGCTTAGGTGTTCTAAAGGCTCTGTGTCTACAGTTTCAACATTTGAATTTAATTAGAGCAAAACTGGTTATATAATAAAGGAGATAATTAGTTTAGCAGTAGTGTAACTGTACTCGTATTCTTACTCAGATTTTGATGACATTATCTTCTTCATTTTTCTCTAGTGTAGTGAGTTCACCAACATTATTCTTCATTTAAATTACATAATTCATTCATACCTGATAACAAAATTAAACCAGTCTTAATTTTTTAAGATGAAGTTTGATTAATATTCTAATTCACCGAGAGTTTAAATGATAGGCTTATAAATGAAATAATATTAAAGAATACTGAAGACTGGATCCCTCTTGTTTGTTTTCTTACATGTATATCTTGATAAACAGTAATAAATCCTATTTATTTTAAAATTATATATCACTTTTTATAATGTTTTACAACTTTATCATATAGGCCTTTGTAGTAAATAAATGCTATCTTTATGTATAAACAAATGTAATGCATAGCTTGTTTGTGTCATAGCTAGCTTCCTTAAATCCTTCAATTCTATGGTGAATAAAAGCTTTATATTATATGCTGTTTTTCATATATTTCTTCTTGGATGACATCATTTTAATCATTTGCATATTATTTTTCAGTTACCGCCGATATCATTTGCATATTATTTATTAAGTTATTGGGTAGCTTTGTATCTTGATTTCAGTTACAAGATTATTAATATAGTTTAAAACAACGATAGTCCTTTTCTAGCAAACCCCCCTCTTTTCTGGTAAAACCCTTCTTTAAATTTCCCAAATAAGTCCTCCAACTCAACTAATGCACTGCAGACCCACCCAGACACAGACATTTTCAAACATATCTGCTTTTATAGCATTATTTAGACCCATAAAGCACAAAAATCCTCTTGCTTTTGGGGTTTCGCCGACCCCACCGGGGCTTCGACTGTGGACCTCACGCCCAGAAAACCCCCACTTGGAAGACGTATTAAATGAGGTTGCAGGGTGTTTAAAGAGCGCACTCCTTTAATTTTAAACATTTTTTACCAAGAGTGGGCGCTGTAGTTGGCAATATCATATCGTCAAAGTCCGCTGCTTGGTCTAACCGGTGGATAAGTGTTGTAATATACGACGTAGTTACGAACCGTCTCGCATCCTGCGGGACGGTCCCGCATTTCAAAGTGATTTTGGATGTAATACGCATTTGGCAGAAACATGCATGCTTTAAATTTGTCACGCATTTAGTGTAGGCGTGATGACGAATAATCGAAAAAAAAAAAATAATTCTAATAATAATTCTAATAATTCTTCCAATTTGAAATATATTTCAAATTAGAAGA